ATGAAAGACGTTGAAAATCAAAACGATGGATGTGGATGAAATGTGGAAATACATACGAAAAAGTTTGGAAACAATAGCCAATAGCCGACGAAAACCTAACATGTAGGAGGACTGAGAAAAAATAAAACCCTAAATAACATCAGAAATCCTGTACGAGGAGAAGCTAGAAGAAAATGGATGAACATACGACACTACATAAAGCAGTACAAAGGAAAATTCAAGAAGCCAAGGATGCAACACAATCAAATCAACGCGTACGCGTAGTATAATTAAGGACACAGATAGGAGAATAATATCTGACGTGGGGGACAAACTGAAGAAGTGGACACCATACCTGTCAGAATTACTCGATGAAGAAAGACCTCTAAAACCGGTCCTGCAATCGAGCAACGTACAATTATGTAAAGGATATTTACTTGCACTTTTACCAAAAAAAAAATGACGGATGATGAAGCGAATACGCTTGGATGTTATCAGCAAATAAAGTAAGAGTCAGTCCTGATATTCTGCTGGTGGTGATATTTGTGCGCCTAAAGAAAGTAGCTTACACTTAAAAATATTAAGATCAGAAATAAAATATGCCTGGGAAACTATGAAACCCGCTAAAACTGCTGGTCCTGATAAAATACGCAAAGCTTATCAAACTATCCGATGATGATGTAATTGATATTCTATGGAATCCCTTAGCAAAAGTCGTACCTATGTGCTTACAACGAAAAAAAACAGATCCAGGAGAATGTTCAGATCCCCGAACTATTGAACTCATAAATCACACCTTAAAGTTCTACTTAAAAATCATCCGCCAAAGAATATACAAGGGATATGAAGAAGAGATAGGCAACGCACAGTTTGAATTCTTCGATGAACTTAGCACAAGAAGCGCTCTTTGGGACTAACGTTCTTATCTAGCGCTGTCTCGATATATACCAGGATTATATCGACATTGAGAAAGTTTCTGACACATTGAAATATAGCAAGTCACATCAGGTACTCATACGTGAAAACATCGACTTGGACGACGTGAAAATCATTACGAACCTATAAAAACCTACTGAGGCCGAAGAGCACATACAAAGGTAGCAAACTAACCAACAGAAGAAATGGAGATTCGTTGTGGTGCAAGAGAATCCTATCGCTATCTCTTACCTTTAAAGCGAACCTTGAGAGAAACATCTGTATGAATTGATGGAGAAGTAATTAATAATATAAAGTAAGTATACTGATGTCGTCCGGCGTCCTTTTAACGAGCAACCATAAAGGCGCACAACATCATTTAAAAAAGTTCAATGATCAATAAAACGAATAAAAATTTGATGATACGTACAAAGTTTCCTCAAAATCACAACCAAAATTTGAATGTGGCGGTAGCAAACACTACAATAGAGAATGTGCAGACATAGAAATATCTAAGAACCTGGATAGTACAATCGGGTGACCGAATAAAAGAGACAAGAACAAGAAATAAAGAGAGCCAGATCAATATTCTTAAAAATGAAAAAGTTGTTGACTAGTCAAGATGTAAAGAGCGGACTTAGAAGGAAGATGCTGCGTTGTTACGTGTTTTTTGCGCTTTTGTATGGAGCGGAGGCATGGAGTCTCAAGAAGAATCTTATGAACAAATCATAAGCTTACAGAATGCGGGGCTGCCGTAGAATGTGTCGTATCCCCTCGGTACATAAGATTCAGGGGATCATTAGTGGAAGGAGGAATATTCGTAGATGCCGTGTGTCCTGACTTATAACCTAACGGACTAGTTTAGCAATTTTCAACTATTCTGGGCTGCATACAATAACGTCCGGATAGCTGTGGCTGTGATGATAGCGAATCTCTGATAGAAAACGCACTATAGGAAGGAGAAGAGTGAAAATTAAACACTTAACAAAATATATTCATTATTACAACATATTTTGACATATAGCGTCTTCTTCAGGTGGATACTTCACTTCTACATGTGTAAGGGACGAGACAGAATTAAATGCGAAAATCATCGGTGCATTGTAGTGATAAATACGTTAAGCATGGCATATGGAAAACTTGAATAAACCAAAATGCTTCTGGCCTTCTTGACAGCCCTCGATTTCCTTTTTTTCTTCTTTCTTGTTAGGATTTCAGCATCATTAAAAGAAATGTTTTATTTCTGTGAGTCTTACTAAGACAATGGCAAAGTTTTAGCAGAGTAGACGAAGGAAACGGAGCCAACTAGAAGCGTGCTTTCCAAAACTGAATCTATCATTGAGTGCATTTTGTTGTGAAGAATGAAAATGTGAAATGTGAAAATTATAATTTGTAAACAATTAAAATAATTCTAGTGGATTTTTATCTATTATTCCACGTGGTTTTTCATTGTGATGTCTTTGTAAAATCAATATGATCTTTTGGGTGTACATATTCGTCTGATTGGTTGAACTAGAGATGTTATAGAATAGCTTTTTCTTGTACCTAGTATGACCTGTACCTGCTCCCAACACAAACCTATTCCAAGTACCTGTTCCAGCTCCTAAGTATTTCCTGTCAAACTCAGTGGCTAGCGCTATTATTAGAGGTTAGAACATTAATAAACGTGTCTTTTATTACATCGAATACCGATTGATGATTCGAATGCTGGCAAGTGGCAATCCAGTATAGCAGATTCTACTATTCCATTGAATTAATATACTAGAGGTGTTTTCTGGCGTCTCAAAGTTTTGAAACATTTTTCAAAACTTGTTTAAAACAGACGTAATAATTTCTCGGCGCAAGAAAATGGGTTTAAAACGTGGATTGGATTGTATTTCGAAACGGGTTGAACCAGTTTTGATTTAACGTCATGGGTTCATCGCGAGAATATACTATTTAAAACCTGTTTCAAAAAAGTGAACGCGAGAAAACAGCTTTGGTTTAGGGCAAACACGTGTCGTACCAGCGCCTGCTCTGCGAACTCGGAACAGGTAAATCTAATATTTGGTAATAGGTATACGGAACAGGCAGGTCATACCTATTCCAAAAGAACAGGTCCAGTTCCAGCGTAACATCCCTAGGTTGAACTGGTAAAATGCAGTTAAGTATAAAAAAACACAGGATTGTTTTCCTGTGGGGTTTGGTTTCTAAAACGTTCTCTTTTCTCGGCGGTATTCTAGCAGGGATGTCGTTTTTATTTTTAATAATTTTTGCTTTATATTTTTAGATTCTTCCTCATAGATTTTCCAATATATTTTGCTATCAATACATATTATCATATCATTGTTAAGTTTTTACATGATTAATATTATCTTATCTGTTCTTGAAATGTAAATAGGAATTATATTTCAATTTTTTATCTAATATTGGGCTTCCATTTTGTGTGAGTGCCGATTGGTTGTGCCACGTTTTTCTGAGGTAAGTCAATTCAGACTTTTGGACTAATAAATAGGTACTGCTGCTCTGGTTTCCAGAATCAATTGTTAGTGTGGGAATATTGGACCATTTGCTCTAAATAGAGTCGGTGGAAACCAAATTTGTGTATCCATCCCTATCAACTCTTTATTGAATCCAGGCAGAGGCCTGAATAGCCATTTTCTGTTTGACTCCGTCAATTATTATCTCGACTAAAGGGTGTAATTTTTTTTAATAGAAATCCAGACAGGTCAAAAATTCAGTTAAAAAGTTTTAATTAAAACATCTCAAGAATTTTGACATATTCTGGATTTGATCGATTTCACCCTCAGGTTTATCTTGTAGTATCTATAGTAGCTACCTTAATTTAAAAGGAAAATTTTGTCTATTTGGGGGAGAATCTAAAGATTTAATTTCCTATTGTTTTTATCTTATTTTGTTCATATTTTTGCCTGCTAGTGCTACTGCCAGAAAATCAGCATTTTGCTCAATTATAACGAGCATTTTAATTTAATTTTTCTGTTATTATTTTAATTTTACTATTATCTTACCATAATTTTCAGTTATTTAATGTTTTTTCTATATCAAAATATTTTTTTTTTCTTCAATTCAAATGTTGTCCATACCTGATTCTGTTGGAAGGGAGTGTCTGCACAAAAATGGTTTTATAATAAACTAATTTCATATTAATTTTTTTTGTTCTTTGGAACACACTCACTTTTTGACAGAATTCAGGGATTTAATATTCCAAATCTTGGTGAACCTGATACTGCCTTATTCTTTCCTGGGTACCTACTCGACATAAAGATCACTGTTTGGAGTCTGGATCAGCTGGAGTGACGTCACCCCAGCAATCTATCCTCTTTTCTGGATACAGGAAACAACACGAAGAGCTCCAGTTCACGAAAGTGAAACCCCAACACCCATTAGAGAGCTCCGGATTGGAAAGGTACATGGTATCAGATTCACCGGAAAAACCAAGCTGTCAACACTAAAATTTTACAGAAAGTAGCATTTACTGTTACTATATGTTACTATATAACATTGTAAACAAAACAAAATTATTGTTATTTTGGATTTTGAGTGGTTTCATTTGCACATAAAGAGACTACACGTTATCTTAATTTTTTGAATTTCACGACCCTAGGTTATCTTATCTTAAAGTAACAAATTTGTAACAACTTCCATAAGAGGAATGTCAATTTATTTCTTTTATAAGTAAAATATATAGTTGTAGTTTGCCTTTCTAGATATTTGAACATTGCACTGTTCAAGTGTCTTTTGATGATAAACCTATTCTCAGTTTTCTGCTTGATTGTTATAAGCAATCGTTTGTAATAATGACTATGTAGAATAAATAATTTTTGAATGCTAGATAAACAAATATATGTATAATTTGATATTTTGTTTTATCTAACTGACTTGATGGTTTCTAGATTTTAAAAAGATACTCCTTTATTAACCATGGCATGCAAAATAAATGAAAAACATATGCCTAATAATTATCAAAGGCATTTAACACAATCAGTTAATTTGGTCCATATTTTTAGCATCACGGTGTCGTTCCACTTAAGTAGGATAGTTGAACAATAATTCGGGACGCTATGAATAGACATGCAGGCATTAAAATAAAATAGCATACTACTAACCTTCATCCTTAAAAACCAAAAGCCACTTATCCATTTGTATAAACATTACATCGCCTCCAAAAATAATTTCTTTTGAAATTTTTGGTTTAACAATCACCCAGTCCTCACGGTTCATATGTGCAGAATTTCCTAATGAAATAAACTTCTCTTAATATCTAAATATATAGTGGAAATCTAGACTCGTATCATTCACATTTAGTACAAGAATGGTGCAAGTAAGCCTTAAATACTGTGAGATTTATCGGCAGCAGCAGTGTTATTAAGCCCGCAAAAACCATTCACCCTAAAGGGTCTGATATATAGGGCAGAGAAGATTCCGTTTACCCTCAAAGCGCTCTAGGGCAATTTACTACTCAGCGTCCACAAACTTTCCTCAGAGCAATGTTCTTGTTAAATTTACAGTGAAATATAATAATTAAACTTAAATGCAAGCAAATTTCTTTTATATAAAATGGTAATTAAGTTGTTTTGATATGTTTATTAAATGAAACGTCAGTTGCAATTTATTTCTTATTCAAAAACCCTAATCAATTTCCTTTGAAGAATTTTTTGAATTCAATAAAATAACCTGATTACGGAAATTCGAGTAGATACTTGAATTTACCGGAAACTTCTTTTAAGAAAACTGAAGTACTTTACATTACACCTTATCCTTATTCCATTGAATTGAAATTTATATTGGAACTCAAATAGGTAGTTTAGTTACCAAAGGCAGCAGCAATATTATTCCTATTCAAAATAAAGATTATTGAATAGACACAAAATGTACTAAAAACTTCACAGAACATTTTTATATTTTAACTGGGTCCGCACGCTCTAAGCACTTATAACAAAACTGATTCCAGATGATCTTTATGGATTTAAATTGTCACAATTAATTTAGCTTGTATGTGAAATGTTGCAGTTTAATGACTGAATATTAAAAACAATTATTTTCTAAATGAGTTCTATTGTTGTAAAACAGAAAAATGTTTTATAAGGTTGGTTCAAAAAAATTCATAGGTACTTAATATTATTTTGAACAAAATGGTGAAAACTGTTAAAAGTATCCATAACCATAGGCACACACCTATATTTTATTCTGAATTGTTATGTGGTGTTTTTTCTAAAAGCGTGCGCGAAAGTGGCCCATTACCATACTAATAAATTTTTGTTTGTTTATCGGAAATTTTATAATGCATACCTACATCCTAAAAAAATTAATACGTACCTACCTATTTTTGGTGAATAGATGTAAGTTAAGCTAAGTGGGTACTCAAATTTTTTTAAAAACATGGCAACTTTGGTTTTCAAACTGACAAAATGTAATACATAGATGGAATCTTTCTATTGACCACATACTCAAAGCAACGTGACAACGTCCGAGAAAGCACCTGCACCTCATCGACTATCGTCATTGCGCGCACCAAAGATCAACGTGACATGAAAGTAACCAGAGCTTTAATCCATACTGATGACTGCTGGACTGACCTCCAAATGGTATGATTTGTGATGACTTCATAAATACCACCACAACGATGGAGACAACCACACCGCATGTTAAATATTGAGCGACTTGAAGATATATGGAGACACTTAAATAACCTTCCAGTTACTCTTGAATAAGAAATTGTCTGCTGAATATCTCGATGATATCGAACGGCAGGTGTCAATGATTGAAGCATCTATTCCAAGAGCAGCTAGTGCTGGCCGTATGCATTTAGGCACAATCTGTCATTACCTGGTCAATGATGTCATATTCGCTGTTCTGATTGGTCGAGACCGAATGCAGGTATGTTTTGCGAAACTTGACTGAAACGCGGTGCAATATATCAGTCTCTTTCCTCCGCACGCTATTTAAGCCATTAGTTTTCAAGGTGCGGTGCACTCTGAGGCATGAATTCAGTTCTGAATTAAACTTAAACTTACCAAAACCAACCAGACTTAAAACTATCCTGTACTAATCGAAGCTCACCGAAACTAACCCAAACATTGGAGAGCTCATACGGTGCAAGCTATAGCAGGTCAGTAGAGAAGGTCAGTAATTTTTTGTCATCCACTGTTATCGTTCAAACAGTTACTTTCTCTGCAAGAATGGACAGCTAGGAGTAACTTCAATTTTTTTTTTATTTTACTGGCCACAGGCCTTTCCCCAACGGACATTAAGCCAGAAGTTTGCCTTCTAATCGCTGAACTTGGACGCACCTTTTCTTTTTTTCCCATTAGATGTACATGCAGGGCTCTCATTTCAAAAGTAGCCACCCACGTTATCTGCGTAAAGAGATAGATTTCTGAAAATCGCTGAAACGAGTCAACAAATATATCGAGGGGGAACGTTTTTTACGTTCGACCCTTTAACCCTTTAACCCCCAGGGCTCCCATCCCGAAATATTTAAATGAATAGGGGGTCGAGTCATAGATTTGTATAGTATTCTAGCAGTGACTAAGTTGCAGCTTCAATGTATTATTTGTTAGCATGAATTTTTGCTATTACGATTGTGACTTCCATATAATTGCGTTCAACTCTGTAGAATATAGAGAGCTATTTATTTATCAATTTATGCAGGTTTCCGTAATAAAAAAACAAAGTAGATTCACGTAATAATTTTATTAAAATTTCGCCTTAAAACACAATATCTAACAGGGTTTAAAAGTTTTGTTTATAAAATAATACATTGATTTGTTATAGATGTAAGACTTGAAATAAAATCCACCTAAAATAAGTTCAGTAGAAAAGCTTGAATATTGAAGTTTTAAAATGCCTGAGAAAACTATAGCCAAAAAATTCTCGAACACTAGCACCATTGCCAGCATTACAAAAGTTATGTTCATCACAACAAGTAATGCAAGAATGTAATTTTGTTCGTTCTCCTATTATTATGCAACCGGATTCGCATGTTTCTGAACAATTTCGTTGCAACAACCATAGTTTTGGTTTTCCTGTCACTTCTTCAGTACTTGTAGACATCGAAATCCTTCTCACCTGCAAAACGAACAATTTTTTTTTATTCTTTAAAATCGAGTTCACAATCAGATAGTCAAATTGTTAGGAAACCATCATTTATCGTATACAACATCAGAGCTATGTAAATCGGAAAACAGCTAATAGAAATTGAGAAAAAAATAGTTCTATTAATATCATCAAGCCATGAAATCTTTTATGCTGTGCTCAAGGGTCGACACGTACCGGAGGCCTATTGAGCGAAACACAAACAGACCTAATTAGGTTACTTTGAACACATTTGGCTGCTTTCAGAAGCTCGCTAAATGAGCAGACTCAACAACTTGATAATCCGTTTTTATTTATGCTCGTACTTTATTCATGCAGTAATGTACCTAATACAATATATTTCAAAAAAAAAATTAAAACGAACAAATTAGAGGAGCTAATTCCCAAACTTTGACCTTGACCTTACCATTTAAAGAAGAAAGTTCAAAATTTATCGCGAGGACTAATAGCGATGACTGACGCTGTGCCTCTTGCGAGAAAAAATAACCCCATACATAAAAATCTTATTGTAATTCAGACACGCTCATCTTGCAACTTGTTACATAAATAGCTATTTCAGTCTTAGGTACATAATGGATTAGTTCCGTGTCACGTGCTGACGACAATAAAGTTCAAATTTTAAATCGCTTGAAGATAAAGGTGAGAAAATATGTGGAATAGTTGAACGAGGATATATCCATATTAAGAAGAACGGAAGTGGGCAGCTTTATCGTCGTCATATCGTCATTATTGCAATCTAAAAGTAGTACAACGAAAGCAAGGAGATCTAGTACCTACAGATCGGCGACTTTTGATAAGACAGTATAATAACAGACCCGAAATGTTACTTTACCTTTCAGCAAAAGAAAACTCATATTGCCTGACTTCAAAAATTAACACGTTCAAGTGAAACCCGAATTTAAGCATTTAAAACCATCTTCTTCTTCTTCAAGTGCCTATCCGTTCCGGATGTTGGCTATCAACATGGCTATTCTCACTTTGTTGATGGCGATTCGGAAAAGTTCTACTGTTGATTTGTCAAACCACGTTCTAAGATTTGCTAGCCAAGATATTCTCCTTCGGCCAGGTGCTCTCCTGCTATTAATTTTGCCTTGTAGGATTTCCTGTAGCAGCCCGTATCTATTTGGGTTCCTCATTATGTGGCCAAAATACTGAAGTTTCCGACATTTTATGGTATCTAACAGTTCTAGTTCTTTATTCATCCGACGCATTACTCCTACATCTCTGAAACAAAACCTGAACACCAAATAGAGCCTCTCTTGTACCGACGGCGTTCACAAACCCCAACTGGTTCGGTGAAATCTGGTCTTCACAAAGTCTATATATTCTTTAGTATATTATCTTGAGAAACAGCTTTAAGAGATGACTCATCAAACTTATTGTTCTAAAATCACCGCAGGTTTTGGCACTTGCTTTTTTCGGCAGTGTGATAAATTCTGACCTTAACCAATCCGCTGGAATTTCTCCTGTTAAGTAGATGTTGTTGAATATTCTGGTTAGCCATTTGATTTTATCCTCGTTCAGTAACTTTAGGAATTCAGTCTGTATTTGATCTAGACCAGCTGTTTTCCGTGGCTTCATTTCTGAAATAGCGGCTCTCACCTCGTCCGCAAGAATTTCCGGTCCCTCTCCTGCAGTTGGTTTTTGTTCTTTGCATACATCATGGAATAGATTCTCCAGATATGTTTTCCAGGCTTCCTTCTTTTTCTCCGCGTCAATGATGATTTCTCCTGCTTCGTTAACCAAAGGTTTACAGTTGTTTTTGTGGCCTTTCCTTGTTACTTTTCGGACTTTCCTTTAAACATTGAAGTCATCGTACATGTTTTGATGGTGTTCGATCTCGCGACATTTTTCTTGTAGTTCTTTTTCTTTCGCTTTCCTTATTTCCTGTTTTATAATGCATTGTATACGTTTATATTCCGTTGGATTTCCTTTATTTTGTCTTCTTTCTTCCATCAAGTTTAATATTTCTGTCGTCATCCAAGATTTTCTCTTTATTTTGTCCGGTTTCAATATTTCCTTCTTTACTGTTTCTACTGCTTGCTTTAATTTGTTTAGTTCCATATCGACGTTGTTGTTTTCATTTGACTGAATGTTGTCGTTGAGCATTATTGCTGCTACTTCCTCTATTGCTGGGGTTTTGAGTCTCTGAAGGTCATAGTTTGAAGTCATCTTAGTGTTGACCTTCTTCATTTTCACCCTAAATACACCAACCAAGGGACAGTGATCTGATCCAATGTCAGCTCCTGGATATGTTTTGAGAGATAGGCAGCTATTTCTAAACCTCTTATTGACTAACATAAAGTCGATTTGGTTTCTGACTATTCTTCCCGGTTCATCCATAGGTGCTTTCCACGTATATAATCTTCTTGGCGGCAGTTTGAACCAAGTGTTCATTACTACGAGTTCATTTGTTACTGCAAAAACTTCAAGTGTGTCCCCTCTTTTGTTTTTTTCACCTAGTCCATGTGATCCTATAACGTCTGATGTATGACCTTCTCCCACTTTTGAGTAAAATTCGCCCATTAAAATTGTGATATCATGCTTCTTCGGTTCTTTCCATATAGACTATAACCATAACTTCTAACCATATAGACTATTTACATATATACTTATTGAAGTCGAATCTTGAAAAAAAAATCCCATGAAAAGTGTCAGGTGTCAAGTAAAAGCAGGTAACACAGATTTTGGGCGTAATCGACTTGTTGACATGAAATAAAATTGCGTTTTTTTATTATAAAATGCCAGTAGAAAAAATCTTGTATACAATACATTACGAAACGATGTCTTTTAGTCACTCGACGTGTTGTCCAACTCGGCTTTGCCTCGTTGGACAATTTTCACGTCGCGTGCCTAAAAGACGCTCATTTCGTAACTTATTGTATAAATAGCTATTTTCTAAAATAGGTAAATTCAAGTTTTGTGGTTTGCGTATTATATTACCCTTCATGGTGGATAATGGTACGCCCTTTATCGGGTAATGAATAATGATACGCAAAAGAAAACTGTTTTTAAAAATGTTATTTATTGGAAAACCACTCAACAAAATATTCAATATAAACAAAAGTAAACTTATACATATTTAAAACTATCAATAACGAAAACATAAAAGATATTTCAGAACGAGTTTCCGGACTTCAGAACCTAAACCAAAATTTGGCGAGAAGGTGCCTTTTCACAGAAGATTTTGTACAGCTGAAGTCACATCTATAATCAGTGGCAGAATACCATCCACTGTATTCGGCATGTGCCCACTGTCCGCAACCAATACATCTATACCAAATTTCCCCATCTTTGCCTAAATCTTCGCACACCAAGCATTGTTTATTCTCCTTTGAATCCACATCCATGTTGACTATGTCATCCAGTTCATCATCATCAACAAGATCTTTCTCGACAATTTTATCGTCCTCAGATAAAGTATCAGAGTCTTATTCCATATTTCTTTTATTTTTTGCTTTTTGCGTACTGCAGATTGAATTTTATTTTTCTTTCGTTACTTTTCTTCCAGAACTAATTTCATTGTCGTGGCCCATAAATATCTCTGACTTCCCCTTGACACCTTTTTTTGTTTTTCTTTTCGCAGAATATGACGGCAATGGTGACAATTCTGCAATGCTAACCTTCTCTTTTGCTAAAGCACTTATCTTTGATTTTCCTTTGTTATAGCTGAACTATTTGAAGTTGACGAGTCAGGCATTAAAAAAAGGTTGATGGCCCAGAAGTTGACAAGCCAGATGTTGATGGGCCGGAAGTTGATGGATCAAAAATTGACGGGCCAGAAATTGACAGGCCAGATGTTGGGGGGCCAGAAATTGTAAGGCTAGATGTTGAGGGCTCAGAAGTTGACAGGCCAGATGATGAGGGGCAAGAAGTTGACTGGCCAGATGTTGAGGGGCCAGGATCAAACTCATTTCTAGGGTCCAAATAATCAAATACAGTAGGCTGCAGACATTGGCTAGCAGGTTCAAAATGATCTCTTGTGAATTTATCGGGATTGAATGGATAGATCCCTGTTAAGTTGAAACCTGAAATAGCCTTTTCCATGGTCGCAATTTTAACGTATGCATTGTTAAATATTTCAGCCAAATCTGGGAAAGTTATTTTCTCTTGCTTGCCAATTTTTGAAAAATTATCGCACTCCGTATTGAAAGCGCATTTAAATGATCCAAAAAATGAGGTGTCGAGAGGCTGCAAGCGGTGGGAGGTGTGTGGCGGTATTGACAACATCACTATTCACTATTCCCATTATCTTTACAATAATTATAAATCGAAAGAAATATATGACTATAATGGTTGTCAAGCAACAGCAAAACAGCGTTTAAAGGATTCGAATCAACACAATTTGATGCTATAACCACTGAAGAAAACATTTTTCGTCACTCCAGCCATTATCGGTAACTGCATAAATACAGTGACATTTTTTCCACGCTCCCAGGATATTTTTGATCAAACTGTTTAACGCTTTTGGTCCTAGTTGCTTAGTAGGCTTCTGAACAGTTGAGATCCCTGTCTCGTCCACGTTAAAGATTCTGCTTGGAACAAATTTATATTTGTCTAACAAAGCTGCCAAGTTCGAAAAAAAATTAACGGAATTTTCATTAAAAGCAGTTATTCTATTGACAGTTTGAAATGATGCAAGTTTATCACTTCTTTGGGTTGCCCTACAGCTGCTCAGACAAAAGTTTAGGAGGCAATGGACGTGGGTTATCTTTATTTGATATTGTTTTCTAATGAACTCCAGGCCTATAATAGGCCATTTAAAATAAAACCAAAAATTTAAAACAATATAAATAACTATTTATTTAAATTGCATTTATTTAAATAGAATTAATTCATAAATCAATTCAAACAATTAATTGAAAGCAATTTGCATATAATTGCAAAATACACAATAATCAGGATTAGCAACAATGCACGATGGAAACCAAGGTCGACTTACAAGTTACTAACCTACTTTATTACATAAAACGTGAAATACAAAGATGAGAAAATTTTGGATTGATTTTCTCTGCTTTTCCATCCATAGACGCGTTTCGACCTATCAGGTCTCATCAGATTAGATGGTCAATCACTAAATTACAGCAAAAATTGCTGTTTAGTGTTGAATCCTTGTATTAGATGGCGCCACGATCAAATTTCGACCGTCGTAAAATACAAAGTTTAAATTCTTACACTCAATTAAGTTGATATGTAAGAAGAACGAGCAAATTAGAATCTACAGTGAATCTGTGTCACCTAAATCTTACAAAAGGCTCTAATACAAGTTAAATTCTTACATACAATGAAGTTGTTATGTAAGAAGAACGAGCAAATTAGATTCTACAGTGAATCCACGTCACCTAAATCTAACCAAAGGCTCTAATAAGACAAGTTAAATTCTTAAATACAATGAAGTTGTTATGTAAAAAGAACTAGCAAGTGAGATTTTACAGTGAATCCATGTCACCTAAATCTAACCAAAGGCTCTAATGCAAGTTAAATTCTTACATACAATGAGGTTGTTATGTAAGACTAAAGAAAATATTCGCTGACATAACTCGAACATAACTTTGAGAAACGACAGTTTTGGTTGTAACGAAACCCTTTAGAATTAACAACAATACACGATGGAAACCAAGGTCGACTTACAAGTTGTTAACCTACTGAGCGAGTTTCCGGTCGGTACGGCAAGTTAAATTTTGTGTTCAGTGAACCTGATACACAAACAAAATAAGCTTTCTAGAATCTCATCTAAAAAGTTTTCAAAACAAGTGATATTCCTACATACAATGAAGTTGCTATGTAGGACTAAAAATATTGAGCAAAACTTCAAAAAAAAATAAAAAAATCAAATAAAAAATCAAACATTATTAAAAAAAAAAAATCGAATATATAATATGGCCGTTCACTAACAAATACAAGCGTATGAAGTATATATACCGCCGCAGCGTTGTCGGAATACGAAAGGAACACGATTCTATGCAATTGGAGTCGATCTTTAACGATTGCCTGAACGTAGGAGGAGATGCGTATGATTACCCGCTGCGTATGATTTCCCTCCTCTCCCCTTATTATTTTCCTTTTACCAAGCTAGCCAAGCATATCGACATTATGAAGTGGGTCAGTAAAACGCATAAGTCAGCACTTTAGTTAATTTATTAGTTAATTACCTTTGAGAATATTGTATTTATTTGTGAATAAATAGTGTTACCGCTCCCTAAATGAATTAGTAATAAACCATCAGTCGTTTGTACTCAATTACACCCACAGTTAACTGCCTACTACAGAGTGTTACTGCGCACCTTATTAGGTATTCGACAACAAAGAAGAATTAGGCGCTCAGAGTGTAATCACTCATTCTCTGCCAACTTTTCTAGTTACAAAAATTCTCACATCACACTATCCAATTACTCTTGATTCGGTTTCTAATTGTCTAAACGAGGACAAAGTGTCAGAAATTTTAATATCCAGAAAAGGCGATTTAACAAATATTGAGAACTCATCATAATCATCATCATCATAGGCATTATTCACTTGGTAACATTTTTTGGCACCATCATTGTCCGTCGGTTCTTTGATTGCTGAAAAAGCCTATCCTAGACCCACAATTTCTCCCACATAGATTGCACACCCAATCAACGGTAGCGTCCTGTTTTTTTCTACGATTTCGTTTGTCTTCTGCATCCATTCGCCTTTGTTCGAAATACTCCGCGAGTTCACCCACGTCGATCTGACACGCTTTTATGTTTGTCTTGAGGACATCTTTGTAAATTAACATAGCCCTCCTTTGCTGCGTTGCCCATTTTTTAGTTGGGCATACATAATTTGCTTAGGAAGACTTAAGTTGGACATGCGGCCGTTAGTATTTGGGGTAGTCTGGATTTTTGTCTTATCTGCGGTTAGATCTAGACCGATGGTTTCGTATGATTGCTTGAGTGTTTGCCAGGACAGCGTTATCAGTATATTGAAGCTCATAAACTGTTGTTGTGGATACATTGTTCTTAGCACGAAGTCTGCTAATAAGATTAAATACCTTACCATTAGTTCTATGGGAGATTTCAAAGCCCAGCGGCAGATATTCTTGGACAACGTGTAGTACAGATACAGAGAATAGGCTTGGCGCAATGACACATCCTTGCTTCTTTCCAAATTGGTTTTTAAACCTTCCTCGGGTCTGTTGTTGTTAAGGACAGAGCAGTTTATGTTCCAATATAGTAAACGAAGTATGTTGATGAATTTAGGTGGATCGCCCTGCAATGCCTGTATTTTACAAAAAAATAACTCGTTAAACAGAATCAAATGGTTTGAATAGATCTATCAATGCCATATACGAAGATTTGTTTCGCTCTTTCAATTTTTCTTGCATTTCTCTGCCATCTCTGCTGGCTCTCAGTTAAATCTAAAGCCACACTGTTTCGAGTTGACTCGCTTTGGCCAGAGAGGGTAGCCCGTTGGAGAGAAGCTTGGCAAGTATTTTTCCGGCTGCAGAAAGCAGTGATATTCCTCGGTAATTTCTATACTGTGACTCATTGACTTTCATGAATATAGTGATGATAGAGGTGTCTCGCAAATCTGTGGGAATTGTCTCGGTGTTTCATATTCTGGCAACGAACCTATGTGTTCGATCGAACAGCGCACAGCCCCCCACCTTGAAAAATTCAGCAGAAACTCCGACTCATCCAACAGCCTTATAGTTCCTTCAACCTCTTGATTTTAAAGAACGTCACTTAGATGGTTTTGGATGGGTTTTTGTCGGACTTTTTCAAAACCTAGTGATCTACGTGGGAATCTCTGTTGAAGAAAATGTTCCTTTCATCGGGATTTAAAAGGAATGAATACTGTCGAATAAGATAAAGTATCATTCGACAAAAGTTCTGGATTCCTACTATCCGCTCGTACAGCTATTATACTATATATTTTCCCAACCTACCCAATGCTTTCCTTTAAGACTCAGTAAAAAAAAGTTAGGTACTACGCAATTACTGCTGAAATAATTTCAGCAGTGGAATTTGAGAGAATCCAAGGATACAGTTGAGGTAAAGTTCCTTTGTATTAACTTTTAGAGAAACACCTCGTTTTAATTTTTGAATATCTTTTGTTGTTTTGTTTAGTATAAATAGGAAATTTCAATAACTATTGAATCTGTGAGCTCTGTCTAATGAAGAGAATTAAAGTGTAATGAAAATTGAAATAATGATTATAGTTAAATATTTTGAACTCTATCTGATTAAAAGAATTTAAATTAAATGCGTAATATTGATTTGAGATACTATTGTTATGTCTGAGCTTAGAGCTAAAAATTTATCCAACATGTTTAATGTTTTGTAATACTATTCACTCAGTCTGAATTCACGATTTTGAGTAAAGCTTTGTACAAATTTGGCAGTAAGTGAATTCAAAGGTTTTTATACGCTTATAGAATTGGATGTTTTAATAATTGTAATGTTTTGACGTGCAGGAGTTTTGGTTAAAAATATTGTAACCTAATGTATTAGGGCTCTATAAAAGAGTTTTTTGAGTACAAGGCTTTAGATTGTAACATTTTAATTACAAGTTCAGAGAAAGTATAGAGGTGGCTGTAAGTTAGCATCATTTAGATTTTATTTTTTTTTGTTTTAGAAAGGTCTTGGATAAGGGTATAAAAATTGTATCATTGTAATTTGGTGAAGCTCTGTTTATTTTCTCGAATAAAATATTTTTATTGATGGATAATCGAACTACAGTTGTTTCTCTCACTTGCAAATAGACCCGACCCCACAATTTTATCTTACAGTAGTTGCCCAAGGAAATAAAAACCATCAAATACAACCGCTCGCAATTTACCATCTTACCTAGATAATAGGATACTTGGCGTGGATGCTACAATATAATGAATGGACCATATTTCGAGACAGAAAAACGCAAGACAGTTATCAAGAATTACCTTATGGTGCTCTAGGGAAATATTAAGAAGTTTTAGCAGATAAGGCTTCAAACTGAAAGGCTCAAGGCAGATGTCAATGTGGAATGAATTAGCTTATGTCCACTGTTAGATGAAGAGAGGCTGATAAACAAGAAGATAAATAATGCAAATTCGACTAAAATACCAGTTCATTTTATTTCAAAAATAGGTTAAGTGGTGTATATTAATGCAATTTCAAAATAGAATATTCCCTGAATTCCAATTTATTATCTTTTAGTGCCGTACGGGAAAATCAATACATAATGGTAGGTATTAAATTGATTATAGTTTAATGCAATTTTATTTCCATTTCAAAATAGATTTACAAAAATTACTATAAATTTTAACGTGTTTTTGTGAAGTCTCACCTGGCACTTTTTCTGGTCTTTGCTACATTTTTGATGCAAATAGCTATAATTTCCGGTAAGATCCAAACACTTTTCTCCGTCGAGCATTGAGTCACATTTGTGACACCATAAATCGTGCTGTTTTTCACTTGCTGCTTTGGTTCGATGCTGTGTTTCACTGGAATCTGGAAGAGAGAAAGTAACTTTTAATAGTTAACAAATAAACGGATCAAAAACTCCAAAATCGAGAAAGAAACGCGCATTTTTTTCACAGCGGTAAAATTTTTCAAGCAATTGATAAAATAGTATATTACATACGGAGGTGGAAAGTGTTTCATTATTGTCGAGAGATACTATGGTTGACCGAGGTGCGAAGCGCCAAGGTCAACCAATTCTCGAGACAATATACAGGGTGGAAAATTAAAAAGGATCCACCTGGATTTTCTCGAAAATTATCAAGAAATTAAAAAAACGCCGAAACACGTCGATTTTGTTTGCAAGGGGGACACTTTTTGGCTATTTCAAAATTTTTCTAGATTGCACCCCCTTACCGGGGTGAGTTGCACCCTCAAAACTTGAATAGGAAAACTGGGTCGAGTCGTACCTTGTTTGAGAGCTATTTGAGATGACTTTACAGATCTGCAATTTATTTCGAAATCTGACGAAAAGAGAACGTGTTTTTCGTACATTTCTACAAGAAAAAATTTAAATTCCTGAAACACGTCAATTTTGTTTATTTTGAACCTTTGTTTCTTTGTTAGTTTGAACCTTTTGAACAACCTTTCAAACATGACCCACTTTTCATTTTTTCACAAAAAACACGTTCTCTTTTCGCCCCATGGCAACTTCCGAGGCAAATATCTTGAAAACTAGAAGTCAGATTTCGAAAAAAAATACAGATCTTTAAAGTCATCTCAAATACCTCTCAAACAAGGTACCACTGGACCCAGTTTCCGTATCCAACTTTTGAGGGTGCAACTCTCCCCGGTAAGAGGGTGCAATCTAGGAAAATTTTGAAATAGCCAAAAAGTGTCCCTCTTTGAAACAAAATCGACGTGTTTCGGCGTTTTTTTAATTTCCTGATAATTTTTGAGAAAATCCAGGTGGATCCTTTTTAATTTTCCACCCTGTATGTGAAAACTTTCCACCGAAATATGTATACTATTTTATTTTGAACCATTAATTTTTGAAAAAAATAAGGTAAAAATTTGACAAAAATAGAATTTTGACTGACACTCTGACACCGACATTGACATCTTATGAAATTTCAACAATATATACACATGTGACATCTACTTCTAAATACAAACATTGCACCTGGATTTGTGTTTAGGTGTGAAAGAAAAATTTATCAGGCCGAAAGTGAGTTCTTCGGGCCGAAAGTGACAGGAGAACTGTCAATTTCGGCCTGCTTTAAAGTAAACAGCAGTAAAGTGACATTTTCGAACCTTCAAACTAGAAAGAAATGTGGAAATTACATATATGGTTTAAGATAAAATTATTTTTGTTAAAATTAAATCAAATCAAAATATGCTTTATTGTTCCAAACACATGGTATTCATTGACAAAGCGTTACAACTGATAAGAACAAAGCCAGATCAAAATGTCAACGACAAGACAGAGTAAACCAATCAATGAAAATATGAAGACATGAGAACGTGACCTTAATTTATACAATTTAAATTTTTGAATTGAAAAAAAAAGGCAAATAATCAAAGAGGTGAATGTTAGTCCCAAATGAGCCAATTCTGATTTTCGGTTTTTTTATCACCATGAAACGGTTTTCAAAAAAGCAACCAACCAAAGTTTCCTCTTAATAGAATCCAAACAAGCCTTTTCGCGAATTTATTCAACGGGGTTTTATTTTCAATTGAGAAATATTTTCCCGACAAAGAGAATTTTCGCTTCAATAATACATTTCTTGTTTAGCTCAGGAACAGTAGCATAAATTCCAGAGGGAAAAAAAAAAGATGAATTATTCGAATTATGGAAATTGAGTTTAAACCAAACGAGGTTTTCTTAGAATTTCCAATTGAATAAAATACACATGATCTATGGTTTAGAAAAGTTGAACTTTCTTATAACATTTTGATATGTTTCACGCGGAGCAACTTTTTGGGAAACTTCAAGAGTTAGGTGGTTTTGTCACGAGAAAAGTTGAAGTTTATAGCTCGAGAAAAAGTTATTGCGGTCCGATAAAATGAGAATAGATGGAGAAATATGGCTTTCTTGACCGTTTCACCGATAATGGAATCAGTGGGCTAAAATTAGACTTATAATTGATTTTCAAAGTTTTGGAGCTAACTCCAAGATCCGGCAGGGTGTCTGAAACTTTAATTTTTTTGGTACCTACACGAAAAAAAATATACTGAACCGGCAAACCGAAATAACGGCGCTTTTGGTATTTTGATATTATGGAAAAATTTATAATGACATAGTGAATGATGATAGGAGGTTAGGGACAAGGAATCAAACTCCTCATTTAAAAATTTGCCGACGTTTACGTACTATCTTACTATTAATCAACTGCTGATTCTACTTCTAAACGTAAGTGTTATTTTCAATTGCCTCTTTCTCTCATTGTAATCTGTTTAGATAGTATTCAATCCCACCATAAATCTCCGCGTGAGTTAGGTCTATTTCTAGGAAGCATTATCTCCGATGACCCCTGCACCTGCTACCGAGTAATGTCGCCAGAAGTTCGTTTCTGTTTCCGCTATTCAAAAACGCCGACAGCGCGTGTACACAATTGAACAAGTTAGCCTTGTAATAAATGTCGTTGGGTGTTTAGATTTATTAGTTTATTTAAAGGGTCAGGAATCTCGTGTCTCTTTCGGTTGCGTAATTATTTCATTCGGACCGCCTTCGGAAAAGATAACTGATGACTATAGAGGTGGGTTCGGATAATAATTGTTAGATTAATGGCCGTTTGCACCGACCATTTTAAGGAAGGCTTAACGATAAGTATTTCTTAAAGTGACATTTTCACATGTAAAACTGTCATTTTAAGGTATACTTATCGTTAAGCCTCCCTCAAAACGGTCGGTGCAAACGGCCATAAATGTTTGACCTTTATCGCTGGCTTAAGCAGCGAAACAGATAACCACGTTAATTATTATATCAATTTAAACTTAGAGAATTCCAATTGCGACTATCGAGAGTATTTTATTTACTTTATTACCTTCTACTCATAACTTTGATCATCGGGATTTAATTTAAGATAAAGATAATTGATTGAATTTATTAAAGTGAATAATAATTGCGTTCTTCTCCTCATGCATTCATCAAAATGCCTAAAAGATTCCCTACCTCTACCCAAGTACTACTAACCGAAACTAAGCCCAAAAATGTTAGCCAAAAAATTATTTAAAATTCTATTTGAATTTCACAACATATTCGATAAAAGGTTAGGAGTTCATTATCTTAAGCACATACAAGGTAACATTAATTTTAATGCAGGATTTCTAGTAACACCATACACAAGAATCAAATTGCAGCTCCATAGAACTGACACAACCGATATATTGTTGTCGTGTCTAGAACAATACTGCAGTTAATTAGACTCGGCTTCAATTTATTTTCAAGGTCCGGTTAAGGTTGTCTTATCGAGCGATAAATGTTTAATAAATCATTAATTGCAGTAATATTAAAGTGAGATACTGTGTCCGGTATAAATGTATTGTCACAACCCCTATACGTTTCGTCCTAGGACGTCACAACAGGAGCGTGACCTGGGGGCGTAGGTGGGGTTCAGGTAATGAGGAACTTGCTTGGTATAGGTACAATAAGATATGTATTGAATAATAATAATATTACCCTAAAAATAGTATCACGACGTCTCTTCTACGGAGGGACGTACTACTTATAGGTCACTCTGAAATATGTACACTCTGTACACTTGGCGCGACTGAAGACTGAAGCTGGGTTTGAGACAGGTCCAGAAGGGCTTTTCCCAATAAAGGTAGTTTGCACTGAACCTAGTTTGCTGCGTTCAATACTCCCCGAAGGGTATGGTTTGAGACAGATCCAGAAGGGCGTTTCCCATTAAAGGTAGTTTGCACTGGACCTAGTCTGCTGCGTTCAATTCTCCCAGAGGGGCGTTTCTCATTGAAGGTAGTTTGCACTGGGAGGAGTCATAGCTAGAGGGGCTTTTCCCAATTGAGGTACTTTGCACTTCGTCCTTGATTTTAGATTAGTTATATTCCAGTGCTTAGTTAGACCACTCAATTCCTTGTCTACAGCCGATGCTATTCCTTCCATATACGTTAAATCTTACATCTTCTACTTTCTCTGATTCTTGACACTTCCTGCCGCCCAGTATTGTTGGTTCTAAAGGGTCTTGAAGCCAGGGTACTCTGTATGTTATTGAGATTGACCCTTCGTATGAAATTGTATCTGGTAGAAGTTTCCAGGTCCAAAGAAAAATCTCTATATTTTTATAATTTACATGTGGCCACTTTCTTCTACTGCTCATTTTCTTCCTCTTCTCTCACTTCTTCTTTTTCGTCTTCTTCATCTTCACTATACTCTTCGATAGGTGCACCTTCTGTCCACGGGCAGCATCCTACTGACTGGACCGTATCTTTATTCTTCTTTCTACTACCAATTTTTTCTACATAATTTACTTCTCCAAGTTTTCTAAGTACCTTATATGGTCCAAACCACCTTAAAAGTAACTTTTCACTTCTTCCAACCTTTCTGATTGGGATAAACAGCTTAACTTTGTCTCCGGCTTCAAAGTCCAATTCTCTATGTCTTTCATCAAAAGGTCCCTTATCTTTCCCTTGTCTTCTCTGTATATTTTCCACTGCTATAGATCGTATTAAAGAGTGCTTTTTCACTATATCAGGAATCTTCTACTGTTCGCCGGTTGTGATTTTTGCTTAGTGACCTAGTTTTATAAACAATTCGTCGTCAGCATATCCTTGTATACTTCTAATTATCTGGGTCGCTAAAATATATATACATATTTCATTTTGTGCCCTGTTTTCTTTTTCCAATATGGTGACGTCAAGATTTTGCGTTATTTCTTTTGTACCGCTGTTTCTTGGTCCTGGTGTCTGGGTGTCGAAACGGCGCCTCCACCAAATATGTCAGAACCCCTATACGTTTCGTCCTGGGACGTCACAACAGGAGCGTGACCTGGGGGGGTAGGCGGGGTTCAGGTAGAGAGAAACTCGCTTGG